ACAAAAGAAAAAAAATGGAAATGAAATCTATGTAAATAGGGAAGGGCGGAGGGGGTGAAGGGTGCATAGGTAATGGGGAAAAAATAAAAACCAGGGTATATCATGTACAGGTACAAGCACCCAATGATAAATGTAAACAAATTGTATACCTAAAATGTACCAACAAAAGAACAACAAAAATAAAAGATTAGAGTGACCTTTAGAAGGTTAGGGTTAGGGTTACTGTTAGGGTTAGAAAGAGAAGGTTAAGGTTATAATTAGGTTTAGGTATATGGTTCATGTTAGAGGTCATATTAGAGTTTAGGTTTAGTTTAGTGTTAGGGTTAGGATTAGTTTTTGTTTTCAGATTAGTGTTAGTGTTATAGAGTTCAGGTTCAGGTTAGGTTTAGCATTAAGATTTGGGTTAGAATTTGGATTAGGTCTTAGGTTAGGTTTAGTGTTTGGGTAAGGTTTAGGGTGAGGTTTTAGGGTTAAAGTTTTTGCTAGGGCTATGGTTTTGGTTTAAGTTTAGTTTTATGGTTAGGGTTTTAGGTTAGCGTTCAGGTTTGGGTTTGTGTTAGGTCTAGGGTTTGTATTTGGGGTAGTATTAAAGTTAGGAATAGTGTTATGTTTCAGAATAGGGCTATGGTTAGGATTAGGGTTAAGTTTAGGCTTCAGTTTCTCATTAGGGTTAGGTTTAGGAATAGGTTTTGGTTACATTTTCAGCAAGAGTTAGGGCTAAGACTATGGTTAGATTTCATGTTATGTTTAGGATTCAGGTTAGTGTTCAGTTAGGGCTATTGTTAGATTCATTTTTGCATTAGAGTTAAGGTTTGTGCTCAAGTTAGGGTTAGGTTCAGGCTTTAGGTTAGGGTTAGGGACAGAGTGGATCAACCTGTGTGGACCTGGCAAGAAAGTCCAAGTCTGTCTGGCCTGGGTGAGGTGGCAGGCTACTTGGTTTTCTGCCACATACAGGAAACCCACATCTATGTGGATTCTAGAATACTAAGGGATACACCATCATCACTTCTTTCAACACCTGAATGCATTATCAACAGATCTGGGAAAGAAAAATAGTTATATGTCTGCATATTTTTCTACTGAAAGACTTAGAACATCATAATCCTTCTCAAAAGAGGTTATTTGGTACAGCTGGGGATTTAGCTCAGTGGTTCCGCCACCTGCCTCGCAAGTGGAAGGAACCGAGTTCGATCTCCGGTACCAAAAAAAAAAAAAAAAAAAAAAAAAAAAGAGGTTATTTGGTAAGAAAGGGACCAAAATGGACAGAGTTCATGAGGCATAAAATATGCTTAAATGAAGTTCTGGACAGAGGGTGTTTGCTTCAACTCCTTCAACAAGGTCTTCTTTTTTGTTGTTATGGATTGGCCACTGAGATAAACTTTTTTTTTCTTTTTTGGCAGCAGGCAGAAGGGAAAATGAGGGATTGGGATGGGATGACCAAGTCTCTCTCTCTCTCTCTCTGTGCATATATATATATATATGTATGTGTGTGTGTGCATCTGTGTGTGTGCATGTGTGTGTATGTAATTTCTGACACAGACAGTCTTGGTAGTCATGAGAGGTTTGCCTTCTGAGGTATGACAGTCCCTGTCAAAGCCACCACCGTGTGTGTGTGTGTGTGTGTGTGTGTGTGTGTGTGTGGTTTTAAGAAGACAGCTCACAAATATGAGCACTGCCATCAAGTTCTTCACTAATACTGCTATGTAAAGTACTGTCCAGAGAAAAGGAAGGGTAAGAGTCTAAGCAACCTGTCCTATAAAGAGATCTCAAATATTTACTTCATATTACCTTAGGGTTTCTTAAGCCAATTAACAGGCACTTTCTTCTGGAAAGTAGTGAATTTTAATGTGCATGAAAGAGAGATGAATTCCTGAAAAAGAGCACTTGCTGTTATTTCAGCAGGTGGATAATAGTTCCTTTGTAAGCCTTTTGACAGATCAACCTAGAAAAAGAATTGATGCCCTGCCTGAACATACATGTGTAAGTCCTTCAGTTGTAGTTTTTAACTTTGCTTTAGTTTGGCTTAGTTCTTCAGTAGAAACAGCTGTATTGAGAGGAGGACATACAAGTACTCAGGTGTGGTGGGGCATACATGTAATCTCAGGACTCTGGGAAGCTGAGCCAGGAGGAACAGAAGTTTGAGCCCAACCTGGGCAATTGAGTGACATGGTGAGACTATGTCTCAAAATTAAAATTAAATAAAGGCCCAGGAATGTAGTTCAGTGCAAAGGTACTGGCTCTAATTCCCTATATCTCCACCACCACAACAAGATCAGCAAATAGTTTGCAGAGAGAGAGAGAGAGAGAGAGAGAGAGAGAGAGAGAGAGAGAGAGAGAGAGAGAGAGTCTGCATGAAATTTTTTTTTTTTTGCAGTTTGTAAAAGATTTATTTGACAAGTTTCACTTAAGCACAATACACCTGAAAGGAATCACAATGAGATTTAAATCAAGGCCTCAGAATTTCATACAAACACCAAGACCAAATCCTAAGGTATTGATTGGTATTGTGTCTCAGTTTCCCCATTAACTTAAAAAAAAAGCTTAAACTTACGTGCCTTACAGGTTATTAAATGAAACTAGAATTAACAAACATGACAAATGTTTCACTGTAATTGTAGACACAGCTCTTATGTTGAATTTTACAAAACAGCATGTCTTTCAACATGCTTCCCAACAGTGTTCCATGTGATATGGTATAAGAGCAACATTTAACATAATTCAACTGCTTTAACCTAAATACACTTACTGCTTAAGTACATCCTACAATATAACTACTTTGAGAAAAGCTGAAAAGTGTTTAACAGTTATAGTTTACTTAATCTTGATGTTACATCCTGGATAACTTGTGTTCAAAAATACTGAACCTTGAGTATTTAAAACAATCCTCATTTCCTGATAGGAGTTATCATAAATCTCAAGCTTGGATTGGAAAAACTGCTAAACTAAGGTTTGGTTTTTCCTTTAAAAAAAGTTGACCAAGAGACAGTGATCAGGATCAATTACATTCCCCATCCACCACTTATACTGGACATGCTAGACACCCCTCCCATTCCGTTCATGCCCATAGATGCTTGGCTTCCACAACTGTAGTAGCTGCTGTTCACTGCTCCTTGGCTGCCTATGCAATGTTTGATTGAAAATCACTGGAGTTTTCCTGTAAAACTTGGTCATATCCACTCATGCTGCTCTGGCCACCATAGCCGCCTCTGTAGCCACCACTCAGCTGCTGGCTGGCTGGGCCACCGTAACTGGACTGGTTTGACAAGACCATGCCTCCCGTCATTTGGCTACCATAAGCACCACTGCTTGCTCCTGCTGTAGAATTCAAGAAGAGTTCTACATATCTGTGTTCGTAAGCACCACCGTTTGCTCCTGCTGTGGAATTCAAGAAGAGTTCTACATATCTGTGTTGCATATTTGCTTTATCTTTTGACATAGCTGAAAAGGCTCTAAAGAAACACAAGGAAAGAATAGGGCATAGGTATATTGAAATCTTTAAGAGCAGTCAGGCTGAAGTTAGAACTCATTATGGTCCACCATGAAAGCTCATGGCCATGCAGTGACCAGGTCCCTACGACAGGCCTGGGGCTGGCAGAGGGTATAACAGCATTGGCAGAGGAGCTGGCTTTGAGAGGATGAGGCATGGTGCTTATGGCGGAGGCTATGGAGGCTATGATGATTATAATGGCTATAATGATGGCTATGGATTTGGGTCAGATAGATTTGGAAGAGACTTCAATTACTGTTTTTCAGGAATGTCCAATCACAGATATGGGGATGGTGGTTCAACTTTCCAGAGCACAACTGGACACTGTGTACACATGCGGGGATTACCTTACCAAGCTACTGAGAATGACATCTATAATTTTTTTTCACCACTCAACCCTGTGAGAGTACACATTGAGATTGGTCCTGATGGGAGAGTAACTGGTGAAGCAGATGTTGAATTTGCAACTCATGAAGATGCTGTTGCAGCTAATTCTTTATTGATTTAAAGACATCAGTACTAAATTTCCACCATAGCTGTGCTCAACCAAGTTAGCAGGTAGCTAGTCTTACTAGGGGTGGGGATTGGTGATGGAAGTAGTGAGGTTGGCCAAGCTTTCTTAGAGAACAGGATTCAGCCCTTGTGCAGATAAGAGCAGAAACAGTTGCTGGACCCATAGCAACTGAATGGAACATGTGGCCTTACTTCTTGGGAAATGGCTGACTGAGCCAATCTCTGTGGACCCCTGCGAGGAAGAGCCCTGTCAATCAGTCTGGCCATGGACTGAATGGTTGACCTTGGTGGACCTGGAGAGTGAGGGCCCAGTGAGTCACTCCAACAGTGGGCAATTGAGTTACCTTGACAAAAGTGGCAGATGAAAACATGACCTTTTTTACATACTGACATGACTATGTTGTCATCAAAGTCAAAGCTCAGGTCTAACACTAGGAAATCTTGTGACATGTTTGTTTTATGTTTGGTCATTTGTTAGTATTATTAATGACTTAATTAGTCCAGTTTTCACCTCAGAAGACAGCTCCATTCCACCCTAGCACTGGTAGATCATGCATCCATTCTCTATTTAAATATGAGGCCAGACATAAATGAAATAGAAAAGATACACAACCAAGCACAGAAAAACTGGTCCTAACATTGAGTGTGCATAGATAGCTTTTCATAAACAATAAAAATTACTAAAAATCCAAAATGTTATTTTTAATTAAATAAATATGAGTGAACATTAAACCTGAATCAGCATCCTTGCAGAGCTGCTGAATAAAAAGTGTTTATTTTCTTCTTACATACTTACATACAAATGACAGTCATTCTGATGAGATTTAATATAGACATCAATAAAGGTATGCTAATTTCTAAACATCAATCCTTTAACAGATTTATTTATAATAAGGGTATATGATAAAATCTGTGGATCAACAATAGAAAGGTGAGTTTTATTTATGATGTGGTAGAAATCATCAATCTCTCTCCTTTTAGAAACTAATTTGGAAATTAATGTTTTATATGCCAGAGCAATTACTGTCATATTCAAATATAAAGAACAAAGGGTTAGGGTTAGGGCTAGGGTTCCCCATTGCCAGGGGAACAAATAATTATTTTTAATCAAGAAATTCCAAATTAGTAACTTGAGATCAATGAAGAAATAAGTTGAATTTTTGCAATGTATAGGAGAGACTTTCCCTACTGTTCAGTTCTATCAATGTGTTAATTTGACCGTTTAATATATGATGATAAGCCATATCTACACCTACAACCTTGGGTTCCCTCATTCTTTATGCTTTCATGGGAATATGGGACTTTATAGGAAATTTCTCTCTTTTCTCATCTTAAAGCAGAGAGCTTGCAAAGTGCATCTATATTTCCCACTACTCAGAATATTAATGATCAGGGTCATACAGGCAGACTTTAAACACCCTGGAAGTAAGGGTTTTCTTCAGAGCAGAGTTGCTATTCTATTTAATTCTGTAATATTTAAATAAATGTTATTTTTCACATTCTAAATTCTCAGAAGAAGAAGCATGCTTGGGTATATTTATTATTAATGTATCTATATTGACTCAAGAATTGTGGCATGTAAATAATAGGTGAGTTGGTAAATGTGGGAGAAAATAGGGCAAAAATAACAGTCTTTTCTTTTTGATTATAACAGAGCTACATTTTAAAAACTTGCAGAGCTACATATGTTAAAATAAAATCTGTAAATATTAAGAAAAACATGTTCCCAATTTGATAGATGCTGGCTGCTGGCTGCATGTAACCAATGAGCACTGTAAAATGAATTAGTCCAAATGAAGATATGCTATAAGTGCAAACAGTACAATATGCTCTGTTACCATCCAATTGGTGGGTTCTTCTTCCAACCCAGAAAGAATTACAAGGTAAAAAGTCAAAAGAGGACTGAGCAAAAGTAGTCATTGTAGAGCAAGAGTAGAAAACAGCATGTATTGTAAAGCAAAAACAGAAAGCTCTCAAGCAAATGAACTTGGTAAGGGGCCTGAAATGGGTTGCCGGACTCTTTTATACACAAAAATGACTACATCTCAAGCAAGTTGACATCAGCCTATAGGGTTACAATCAGAGAAGGTTGACGTACAAGTGGGCCTATAGGAGGTCAGAGTATGCAGCAGGTGTACTCTTGCAAACACCTTAATTGTAACTTTAAACAGCTAATCTAAAGAGGCCTTTGTTTACAGACCCTCCAGGTGTCTTCGGCTTGTCATCTACATGTCATTCACTGAATCTGATTCCCTCTTTGGCTTGGCCTCTTCTGGGGGCCCTGGCTGCCTGTCCTGTTTGTGGACCTCCCTTTGGCAGAACACTTCCCACACTCCTATCCACTCGTGGGCCAGTGTTATTATGAGAAATCTTACTCTCCCTCAGGACCCTCCTTGTCAACAATTACTGCTGGAGTCTCTTTTTAGGTTATGAAAATGACACCAAAACTTAGAAAATGGGACTTAAGGGTTTGTTTTTTTTTTTGCCATAGTGGCTAATTGAAACCTCTAGCAAGAACGTTAGGGACCACAGTGGTGGCATTAAAGGTAGTGAGTAGATCAGCACCGCCCCTCCTCCCATGTTCCCAGTGGCACCTGACTTAAGCAGCCTTAAGTTGTGGCATGGCAATGAGTGGGAAGTAAGCACTCCCCCCCCCCTTTGCTCCCAGCAACCTGAGAGAGATGCAGAGGAGTTAAACAGAGAATGCTGTGCAAGGGCTGAGAGGAGCCAACACTACACAGGACTGGGAGCAGCCTTGGACTGTCTCTGTCTGAGGGTGTCACAGCAACTGGCAGAGTGACAGTGAAAAAAAAGCATAAGGAGACATGGGCAGGCCACAGAGGGACACACAGAAAGTTGCTGGCTGAAGACTGGCCCCAGCCCCCACATCTGGAGGCCAAGATCAGCCCCACATCCAGCACTAATCCTACCACATTTGGCAGGGTTACCCAGCAGAGATTTGTGCTCTGACTTGGACATAACCAAAGAACTGAAGGCACAAGAGGAATTTTATTTTATTGTTTTGATTGTTTAGGTTTTTACTTTTATTGTTAGTTTTGTTTTGCAGGCTTTTTTCTCTTTATTTAACTGTCCTCAATTTATTATTATTAATATTATTATTATTTTTTTGGTACTGGGGATTGAACTCAGGACCTTGCACTTGCGAGGCAGGTGTGGTGCCACTGAACTAAATCCCTGGCCCTGTCCTCAATTTTTTGATATTTTCACATGAGTGAATGTTGTCTCTAGTCTTTCTGGTTTGGTTCAGTATTCTTTTGATTTATTTTTCATTCTTTCCTGTCCTATTCTTCAGTTTCCCAATGTTTGGGTGATCATCTTTGGTCCTTAAGCCTTGCTTCTACTACAGTACTCTTTTGTTTTGGTACTGGGGATTGAACTCGGGACCTTGTGCTTGCAAGGCAGGTGGAGGAACCACTGAGCTAAATCCCTGGCCCTATTACATTACTCTTAATTTATCTCTCTGTTTCTACCCTATCTCTCTTAATCCCCCCAACATGGTAAAATCACTCTACTAAGGGGAATCTCACAGCACACAAGTTTCCAGTTTATGATGGATTTTGTTAAGTAACTATGTATCTTGCTCCTAAGGTTAAAAGTACTAAATTAATAGTTACCACAGTTTGTCAATTGCTAGGCTGTGCTTGATGCTATTGTTGTTGCTGATTATATTACTTTAGTCATACCTGTTTTAATTAGTTGTTCTTTGTATAACAACACGGTGATTGTCTGGGGTCATAATCATCACCATAGTCCATTACCAAATGACTGTGTGCTGAGCCAAATAGCAAGTTCTCATTCCTAATAAATTGGGAACATAGGATCTTGGGACAGAAACAAAGGCCAAGAGCCACCTACACCTAGAGGACATCTGTGAGGAATGGACATTTCATAGGGAAGCCTCAATATTAGTGATAAAGCTACTTACCATAAGTAGTTTATAAGCAAATTAAAATTAAAAAGATAGAAAACAGTAAGACACAGAAACAATGCAACCCTAGCCTACTCAGGACAAGTCCAGAGGACAATGAGATAGAGAAAATCAGAAGCCACCCACCTGAATTTTCTGAAATAGTAGCAATAAAAGAAAAAAAAACAGATGAAGGAGGGTATAGAGAAAATCAGATCAGAAATAATCTCTCAGGTAAAAAGAGTGATGATGATCAAAGTGAAGGACTTGCTCAGTGACTCTAGAGCAGACACAGATAAAAAATAGAGGAGCTTAGGAAAATGATGGAAACCATGAATGCCCAACATAGGAAAGAAATGGAATCCATGAAACAGATTCAAACAGATATCCAGATTAAAAATTCCATTGAAAGTACATACAACTGAGTGAACCAAGGTAAGGACAGAATGTCAGATCTAGAAGACAGGGTTGTGGTCAGTGATCATAAAAGGAAATATTTCTGGAAAACAACAAGGGACCATAAACAATCAGTTCAATAGCTGCAAGATGATGCAAAGAAGAACAACATAAGATTGATCTGAGTCAAAGAAAAAGCAGGAGACAATACAAATGATATAGAAAAAATCTGTTCACAGAAGTATTGGCAGAAAACTTCCCAAGTATGGAAAAAGAATTTGACATACAGATAAGTGGCAACTCCAATTACTCATGACCAAAATAAATGTACACCAAGGCATATAATCAAGATTCCAGAAATTTAGCAGAAGAACAGAATATTAAAAGCTGTTAGAGAAAAGACATATATCACCTATAAAAGGAAGCCTATCAGAATCACAGCAGACTTCGCAACACAAATCCTTAAGTAAAGGAGAGCTTAGAGTAAAGTATTTCAAGTCATGAAGGAAAACAACCTCCAACCCAGATTGATGTACCCTAGAAAACTGTCAAAATAAATGGAGAAATGAGATATTTCTATGACAAAGAACAAATGAAGAAATGTATGACCACCAAACCAGCTCTCCAAAATGTTGTGAAGGGTATTTTAGAAAGAGATAAAGACTGCAATCCCCAAAACACCAATA